CACAGATCATCAAGCATTAGATTCTCATAAGGAGCATGCCTAGGTCCCTCACATGCGCAGTTCACAATAGGGTTGGTGCTCCTATGAGAATCTAATGCTACAGCTGATCTGACAGGAGGCAGAACTCAGGCGGTAATGCTCGCTTGCCCACTGCTCACCTCCTGCTATGTGGTCCAGTTCCTAACAGGCCAAGACCTGATACTGGTCCATGGCCCAGAGGTTGGAGACCCTTGTACTAGGTAACTATGAATAAGATTGTTGGATTGTATCAATATCAGTACTCTGGTTGTGTTATCATACTATAGTTTTGCAAGATGTTATCATTTGGGGAAACTGGATTAAGGATCCATGTGATCTCTCTGTATTCTTTATTACAACCACATGCAAACCTGTAATTATATTACTATCACCAATAATCATATTCCTTATCTTCGATCTGTTTTTCAAAAGATGACTTCATGCTTAACATAATATGGTATTAAAAGTACAAACTTTGACCCTGACATATCTGGACTTGAGTCATGACTCTGTCGCTTTTTAATTGGTTATGTTACTTAACCTCACATGGCTTTGTTTTTCTCATTAAATGAATAAGTATAATAATAGTAAGTACATTACAGGGTTTTGAGGATTAAATGAGATAGAGTATGTAAATCACTTTTCCAGTGCTTGACATATAGAAAACATGGAAAACTATTAGCTGCTGTGGTCATCAACATCATCATTATCATCATCATTACTATTAATTATTACTTATGTAATTAGACATAAGAAGAACTTTTAATCACCTTTTCTCAGGCTAGAGTCTAACTAGCTACTGAATATTCTGGCTTCTCTTTAATAAAGAGTACTTGGCATTTTTACATCGTTTTACTTAAAATAAGTTTATTGTTTTACTTAAAATAAGTTAAAGTCAATTTTATTCCTTGGAACAAAATGATCATTGCTAATCAATGTATTGTAACAAACTACTGGAATTAATGATGGTAAATACTGAGATCAGTGTGTTCTGTGTAAAATAAAATAAAGATAGAAAGGAAGGAAGGAATTTATTGAAAATTGAACAACATTCATAGTATCCAAACTCCAGCAATATGCTGCTGAAACACAAAATTATTTTCAGCTAGAGACTTCCAGGTTTTCTTTGCCAAAACTGTGCAACCAGTGATTTCTCCCTTTTCTATCACTGAAGTCCATCTGATGTAATGGAGAAAGCCCTGGACAGGGTGATTAGCCTTTCTGGACTCTGGATCCAGCTGTGTCATGACACTGTAACCTTAGGCTTATATCTTTTACCTTCTCTAGCCCCCTGTTTTCCTATGTGTAAATTGTGAGCTTTGGATTAGATTAGTGATTCTCAAAGAATGACTCCTGGACCAGCAGCCCCAGCTACACCTGGTAATTTTTTAGAAATGTACAGTCTTAGACCCCTACCTCAGATCTACTGATTCAAAGACTCTTGACAGAGAGCACGGGGAGAGAAGGAAGCAATGTGTGTTCTAACAAGCCCTGTGGATGATTGTGATCCACACTAAAGTTTGAGAATCACTGTCCTAAATTAAATTTTAGCCTAAAATTTAATTAGTTGGACTGAATTCCAGAGTTTTCTGATTCAGTAGGTATGGGGTAGAGTTTAAAATTGGCATTTTAAAAATCTTCCTAGATATTGCTGATGCTGCTGGTCAGGTACCACACTTTGAGAACTGCTAGGTTAGGTCATCTCCAAGTTCTATTCCAACTCTATGTTTCTATCATTACTCTTGCTTTCACAATGTCCTCTGACCTCCTGCTTATTTACTTTGTCTCTCAAGTTATCGAATAGCCTCTGGGCTAATATTTAGTATTTGAAGTTTCTAACATAGCTTTCTTTGCAGAGTATGATGAACAGAAATGAATTTACCTAAATTCTTACAGCTTATGTTAATATGAAACACCTACAGCTCTTTGGCATTAAAAATGAACCCGAGAGTTTGGTTAGTTATATCATGAAGATGGAAAGTTACAAAAGAAGTAACTTAAGACACTAAGATTCAAGAATTGAAGTCTGGTTTCTAATTGCTATTGACCTTTTTCTGTTGTCTCATGATCTGAAGAGCTTGGGTGACCAATATAAAATAATGTTTTCATTCTAAGATGTTGTTAAATAAATAACACCAAAGAACCCCAAATACATGTTCAAATGAACATGTATTCCCACCTCTTCTTTCTCATGGTTTTCTAGATACTTGGGATGGGATAATGCTCTGTGAGACATGTTGTCTGCTAAGCATGACAAGCCTCTGCCTGCCAAACTGAATTATTTAGTTGGCTCATGTTTTCTTTCTTAAAGTAGAGTTATGAGTAAGATCAACTATTGCTTGTTTTATTGCTTGTTTTATCAGTAATTTGATAATTTCTAGCCCTGAATATGCAAACCATATAAGAAAAGAACAAGGATCTAACAAGGATTTACTGTGATATTGCATTACTATTATGTCAGGTACTGTGACACAAGAGTTACTTTTATTGTCTGTTTAGTCCTCACAATAATCATGTAAGGTAGTATAATTAGCTTCAGTTTTTACATGAGAAATAGACTCAGAACAATTAAGTAACTGCTCAAGATTACACAGTCAAGAAAATAGCAGCATATAGATTTAAGTTCAGACTTTTTTGCCAACAAGGCCTTTAAAGGCACCTAGTAAATCCTCAATAAATAAATGCATAATAAATGAATGAAGGAATTGTTGTAATCACACTATCATCGTAATGTTGATTTTTAAACAATCATAGAATTATAAAGTTGAGAAGGCCATAAGGTTATTACATAATCAGGTTTTTCATTGTGTGTTTGCTTTACATATCTCTAACATATGGGGTTATACAGCCTTTCTTTACTTGACCATCTCTAGGGAAAAGATACATACCATCTCTTTACTCAGAGTGACTATAGAATAGTTTATTACTAGAAAGTTCTTTGAATTTCATTTCCATGAAATTTCTTCTTTTGAGCCTAGTTCTGCCCTCTGTTAACCATTCAGTCTTAATCCAATCCTTCTTCCATACATTATTCTTTCAAGTATTTGAAGATAACCTTACCTCTTTTATCTCTCAAGCTAAATATTCAAACATCTTCAGCTACTTCTCAATAATAACATAATAAATGTTTTTGAAATGAAAGAAACAATAAATAAATATAATATCCAGACTCCTCACTTTCTTATTCTCCCTTTTTAGAGTATAAGCCATCCGTGCTATATTTTAGGTACATATTAGGGCCATATTTCTGGAGGAAAATGAAATTATTTCCTTTGATGTACTCTTGTACCAAACAATTGTAACCCATATACAAAAATACTGTGTCTTATTTTCTGGCATAGAATAGTGCCCTCGTTTCTGACATCTCAGGTTTGCATCAGGGTCCGACAAGCTGGAGTTCAACAGCAAGCCCAGTGCTTTTCTTCAGGGTTAAAGGCAAGACCTGGGCACTAGGGGATCAGCTCCAATTTAAGCAGGCTTAGTTTGTACTCTAATGTACGAAACTTGGGCTTACCTCAGCTAAAATGGAAGAAATAGCTGCTCAAAGCTAGTTTCTTTCACGCCCCACTGGCAAGGTAGTAATTGCACAAAGACCTTTTTATTATAAGTTGATTTTCTTGAGAAATGAATTCAGAAAAATCCTGTAAAGTGTTTATTTTTTGCTTGCCCTTTATTAACCCACATCTTAGGGCTTTCCCTAGAGAAAAACTGTTGGAAAATGAAACCTCTTAGACCCACACAGAAGCAGTTTTTGCACTGTGTCCCTGGCTATGAAGGGAATAGGGACAGGACAAGGCAAGTCAGTGCTAATTAAACAGGGTCATTAGCCAGTGTATGGAATTTTGCCTAAAGAGAAGATTTAGGAATTTAGACAGGGAAGGGTTTGGGATTAGAGGAATTACTGGTAAAGGTTTGTATCTTAAATAAGATATAATGTAGCCTTTTTATACCAGTGAAAAGGCTAAATACCCCGTTTGAACTTAAAGATAATTTTTTGGGCATATCTTAGTTTTGGTCTTTAAATAAGAAAAGTCCTGTATTCAACCTATAAAACTGTGCCCTAAAGCCAGGACAAAACCTTCCTGTCATGCTGTCCTGGAATTCGGGCAGCATACGTAGAGTAAAGAAGGGAGCTAGGAAATTAAAATGTAATTTTCACAAGCGTGATTCTGTCATAGCTCTTATTTTCTTTATATGGAATACAAATACTGATATAGAGTAAAGATTTTTCTATTTTGCATTTTTGTGCTCTTTGATACATTTATTGAGGTCAAATGAAATTTGATATAGTAGGATTTGTTATGAAATGCTCTCTGAATACAACTCCATAATTACTGAGCTACATGGTAGTGCATAAAGCTGTAAAACTGTTTAGCCAGACAAGCAATTTATATGTTACATCAAGGTGTGTATGGCAAAGAATATTACTTTAATTGGGAGCCAAGATGTAGTAGCCTTAAATCTGAAGAGCTATATGTTTAACATAATGCCGTGAGGCTTTGAAATAAGATACCTAAACTGGGGAGATGCAGCTTTTAGAATATATAACAATTAGACATTATTTTCTGACCATGGATACTAAATACTGTTTTTGAAAGAAAGCACAGAATGCAAAGCAGGTGAAAGGGCAAAACCTCTCAACATTGTACAGTACTAGAAAAGAGGCAAACTTATTTCTTCTAGTTCTTTGTTTAAAAGAAAAAATAAAAGGGAAAAAAGTCAAGAGAAAGGAAAACCATTAACCACAGTTTGGTGGAAGCAGCAACGAGGCAAATTCACAATGAAGTTATGTCTTCGGTATGCTATTAGCATCTCAGAAAAGAGATTTGGTGGATTTTTACTGAATTTTCTCAGATTGCAGATTTGGAATGAGGTTAGAGGTGGGTGGCTGTGTGGGTACCAGCACACCACCAGGAGTGAAAAACAAATTCTTCTTGGCATACATTTGCTCCCTGTCTGATCATAGGCTCTCTTCTGTTTAGCAGGTTCAGGGTCACATGCCTCCGCTCATGATCCCAATTTTTCCACATGACCAGCGGACCCTGGCAGCAGCTGCTGCTGCCCAACAGGGATTCCTCTTCCCCCCTGGAATAACATACAAACCAGGTAAGTAGAGAGGGATTTAACATTCTTTTGGAAATGCTCAGATCTGCATGTTTTTGCTTAGTACTCCAACAAACACAGGAGCATGTGAGGGAACTATGAATAAAAATATCATAAAAGCTTATTTTAAAGTAAAATTAGAATTGGGAAGAGCGGGCATTGTAATAAACTAATTGGTTGCTAAAAACTTTTACTTTCTCTTCTTCCACTTGAATTTGTCTTGAATTCACAGATAAGATACTACTTTCCCTGGGGACTACAATGTTTTTGTCAGCTCTCTCTCATACTTTTGCTGTGAATAATTGTTTTTTGGTTAAAGATCCTTTTCTCCTTGTGAGAACTGTTATACTCTGGGAAAGTGATCACATACAGTATAAAATGTTATTGTTTGTTGTCAGACTTCTCTTAGAAAAATAGTTAAAACTAGACTGATTTAATTAGCTTACTACTAATAGGTAAAATTGGTTTTGATTTTCATCTAAATAATGAAGTATTCAGTATTTTTTCATTCATTTTTAAACCTCAAAAAACAGGTCATGTAACCTTGCAGTGAAATATGTTTTAAGATGATTTAGCAAATGTTATGATTTTTCTTTTTTCCTCTGAGTTTACTGGACTCCTGGGGAATTCAATTAGGTTCATAATGGTTTGAAGCTTCTTTCAGAACCTCCTTGTAAACAGGGCTTTAAATGTTTAAAGATATGTTGCCAAAGGAATCCAATGTAAGAAGATAGTCAAGTAAATAAAAGTCAACCTTAATTTCATTTGTGCATTCTTTGTAAGTGACCTCAGCTCAGAAGTAGTGACCTTGTTATACTCATTAATAATTTCTGTGTCAAGTTCTTTTTAACATATTAACCTGATTATATTAACCATCAAATCTGAGTACAACAAATCTGCGTGCAGCAGTTTCTTTGTGTATATGTTTTATAAAGTGAACAAAGGCATTTTAATATGCTTAAAGCAATAATAAAATATAAATCACTTTACTAAAATTCTGGAGAACCGAGCTTACTAAATAGCATAAAAACAAGCCTAGTGCATTTTAGCATCTGTTTTAATTGCTTGTTGCCATTGATTACTCTTTTGTATTTGATAGAGAACTTCCTTCTTTGTAAGAAAGGGTAGGATGTCTGTGGCAAAACACGAATGATTCAAGGAGTAGAGATGTTAATGAGATTGGCGAGTTTAAGGGCTGTCTGAAAATTCCTCACATATAAATGAATCAAACTCATTACCCAAAGGTTTTTGGATACCTGAGAGAAAATTATGCCATTCAAATTGTTAAAAATTCATTTTTCTGGAGCATGATTTTTAGAACAAGTTATACTTACCTATGAAATTGGCATATTTTTTTCAGAGAATATTTCTTTTCAGTGCAGTGGTTCAGTCTTCCTGTGATCTCTATAAGTCATTCTAAACTACTTCTTCATTTCGACTTCCTTTGGAAGTAAACCAAGTTTACTGTTCTATTCTGAATTTGAGTTTGACACTCCTGTACCAGTCCCAGAAATATTTTAAATGAACTATATGTGGAAATTCTCTATTTGACTTCAGTGTTTTCAAAGTTAAATTTATGCACATTTCAAAATCAGGTATCCATCTTATTTTCTGTTAGACGTAGACATCTTGTAACTATATTACTTGCCTAATTTTGTTGAAACAATACTGCCACTTTTCATGGAGGAAGATATTGTTATATATATAGTGATTTTAGACCATTTTTCAAAAGTCTTCTCAAACAGCATTAATGGGATTATAATATGTAACTGAGAAAAACAGAAATTGTGACAATATTGTGCAGAAATTAGTTACTTCCATTGAACAAAGGACAGCTTAGAGTTAGTGTCCTGGGGTAACAAAGCCGTATTTGATTATGTTGGTTAAACTCTGTTGGATAAGGCAGGACAATGGGTTTGGAGATGTAGGAAGAGTTTTAATTATAAGGAAGGTGGGTAAAAAAAAGTGTTTACTTTCGTGTGACTCCTAAATTATGTCAGACAATTTAATTAATCAGAACTCTAATTCTTTCAGTATTTTGGCTAACCTAGGCTTTATTACATATGAAAAATATGTAAAATTGATTAAAATTATATGTTCTTATGCTATTAGTAGAGAAATTGCATCCTCAGGAGACTTAATCTATGCAGTGTTTTTATCGTTCACATGAATTAGGTGAAGAGACTGCTATTGGACTGGAAACTGGACAAGTACAATACAACTTATTTTTGCCCCAAACTGAGCTATGGTAACTTCACTTGAAATGTATATGAGGGCTGGGCGTGATGGCGCATGCCTGTAATCCCAGCACTTTGGGAGTCTGAGGGGTGCGAGAATCACTCGAGCCCAGGAGTTCAAGACCAGCCTGGACAACATAGTGAGCCCTTGTCTCTAAAAAGATTAAAAAGTTAGTGAAGAATGGTGGTGTGCACCTGTAGTCCTAGCTACTCAGGAGGCTGATGTGGGAAGATTACTTGAGCCTGGTAGGTTGAGGCAGCAGTGAGCCATGATTCTGCCACAACACTCCAGTCTTAGCGGCAGAGTAAGACCCTATCTCAAAATGAAATAAAATAAAATAAAAAGAAAAATGTATGTGAGACAACAATGACTAAAGTTTTGAAAGAAAATATTGAATTGGTGGCATAAATTTATATTCTGGTTCCCTAAACAACAGTATGAACAAGTGCTACCTTGGTCTTTATAAATTAAAAAAAATAAATTTCCTTTTTTTTCCCCTTTCCATTTTCCCGTATCTGAAATGATTTCATGGTATTTCTGCCTTCAGCTGACTGAATAATTGTCTTGATTTCTAGAGAGCAAAGACTACCTTGGGGGGACGTTCACTGTTTGTTAAAGTTGACTGTTTCTGAATCCATGTGAAGACAGTGTAAGCAAATATATTTAGGGTTATAGGCCTTCACTCCCCACCCCGTGATTTGAAATGTACCTATGGGCATTTCAGAGTCCCAGCATATAGTAAACACTAGGCAAGCTCTCCCACCTCAGTGGGTTGCTGAGGGGGCATGTTGCCCACAGGGATTGTTCAGCTCCAGGACTGCATCTTTCAGATTATTCTCTCTAGAAATAGCTTTATTGAGTTTTAATCCCTTTTTTTTTTTTTTTTTTTTTTTTTTTTTTTAGTATTTTACAGGTTCTATAATTAGAGACACATTTCTTGATAGGAACTCATCATCAGAGCCCAGAACATAAACCACAGACTTTTGGTTGCTTTGCTCTTTTACATTGCGATACAGAGAGGTGCAGCAATCAAGAGTAAGAGATACGTTTGAGCACAAATGTTGGAGAAAATTAAAAGATAAAGCCTCTTTCACAGTTGCTGATGTGTATATCAGATCAAGATCAGTTTGCCTGAAAAGCAGAAATGATGAGTAGCCCCCTTCATACTTCAGACTTGACTTAGCTGACCCATTGCTTTATGTAGTTGGAATTTTTTATATGATTGCTGCTAGAAAGCACCCTTTAAGTTTCCTAAGAGGTCCTAGGAACAGGATGTCTGCCTGCTCCTGGGTCTTCCATTTACTCACTAGTTATAATATGATAATATATGATAATAATAACAGCTAAAGCTTACTGATTGGTTACTGTGCCAAATACTATGCTAAATATTTCACATCAATTATTTTGTTTCATCCTTACTTGAACATGTAATTTAATCTTGCTGAACCTCAAATTTTTGTCATCTAAGAAATGTGTCATGATTTGTTCACTACTCAATGTGGATGTGAAAATTAAATTTGGTAAAATATATAAAAGTTCTCTGAAAATGATAAAGCACTAAGATTGGGAGTAAAGTCTGATGGTGAAACTAAGTAAATTTAGCCCGTTAAACTACATCCTTATCCTTTGGAAATGCAGTCTAAAAGCTGAGTGTTAGACTGAGTCATAGTATCCCTCTGCTCAACGACCAAAAACAATTTTACAAGTATACCTAATACTTCTTTTTTATTGCAGTAAAATATATGTAATATAATATTTATTATTTTAGCCATTTGTAAGTATATAACTCAGTGGCATTAATATATTTTCAATATCATATAACCAACACCACAATCCATACCCAAAACTTTTTCATCATACCCAACAAAAATGCTGTAGCCATTAAATAACTCTCTCTATCCCTCTACCCTTAGTCTCTGGTAATCTCTATTCTATTATCTTTCTCTGTGAATTTCCCTATTGTAGGTACTTCATATAATTGGAATAATACAATATTTATCTATCTATATCTGGCTTATTTCGGTAAGCATAGCATTTCAAGGTCCATCCGTATTGTAGCATATGTTAAAATATTATTTTATTGCTGAATAATATTCCATTGTGTATATATACCATATTTTGTTTATCTGTTCATCTGTTGATAGGCACTTAGTTTGTTTCTACCTTTTGGCTATTATGAATAATACTTCTATGAACATGGTTATAGAAATGTTTGTTAGAGTCCCCACTTTCAGTCCTTTCGGATATATACCTGTGAGTTGAATTAATGGATCACATGAAGTTCTATGGCTACTGTTTTCCACAGTAGCCATGCCATTTTATATTCCCACCAGAAATGTAAGGGGATTCCAATGTCTTCACATTCTTGCTAACACTTGTTATTTTCAATTAAATTTTTTTATTATTATCCCAGTAGGTGTGAAGTGGTATCTCATTGCGGTTTTGATTTACATTTGCTTAATGATTGATGATGCTGATCATCTTTTCATGTGCTTATTGGCCATTTGGGTATCTCCTGTGGAAAACTGTCTATTTAAGTAGTTTGCCCATTTTTGAGTTGGGATTTTTGTTGTTGTTGAGTTTCAGTTCTTTGTGTACTGTGGATATTAATACCTTATCAGATACATGATTTGCAAATATTTTCTCCCATTCTGTAATTTGTCTTTTGGCATTCTTAATAGTATCTTTAATACACTAAAGTTCTTAATTTTGATAGAGTCCAATTTATCCATTTTTCCCATTGGTGCCTGTGGTTTTGATGTTAT